TATTGTGAATTTTTTATAGGCGGAAAAATTATATATAACTCATATGACTATAATACGTTCATAACTTTATTAAGTACTTCATAACTTTATTGATTATTATTATTAGATTTATATATAGTAATATGCAAGCTCCATAAAAATAAATAGACTGTATCCAATAAAGTAATGTATATAAATAAACTGTTTAATTTAAAATAATAGGAACATTTAATTTTAATTAAAAATAAACTTGTTACAACAGTCAATGAATAAAACATTAAATAATGAATCAATTCAAATCCATATTTAAGTTTAAACGTCATTCTGTAACAGGTACTCAAATTAATCATTTAAAATGTAATAAAACGGTGTTGAAATTTTCCTATTTCTCAATATTTGAGAATACGAATCTTAGAGAGGACCCGAAATAATCACAAATGTGAATCTCACTTCTCCTTGAACTCACTAAAAATATAGTCGACCCCCCTATAACACTGTTGATTATTCCGTTTTATATGAATTCCATGTTGTACGAGTCACTTAGATTTTACAAATACATGAGCCGTTCACAGCCTGGCACACGTATTTGTAAAATCTAAGTGATTCGTACAACATGGAATTCATATAAAACGGAATAATCAACAGTGTTATAGGGGGGTCGACTGGTACACGAATAAAATCAACAAAACTAACAGAATCCGATTTGTTCTCCACTTATCAATAGAAACTTCAATTTAAATCACTTTTGTATCTTGTTTTTTTTTTACATAAAAGACTAAATTTGAGAACTCCTTTATGTCCAATTCCCTGTTGGTTGGTATCTTCTGTATTTGAATCCACTCGAGCAATTTTAAAAATGAATTTCACACTATTTAACGAAACCATAAAAAATTTTCGATATTACAATAAACCCTCTTAACTATGCCGTTATCTTTGATTCACGCACATTAACAAGATTATTTAATGGGAATATTTATATAAAAATTTTAATAAAGACAAAATTTATTGATCTACTTAGTATCAAGTTACCTGATTATCTTTTTAAGGCCGATATTAAAATTATTAGTAAACATTAAGTTAAAAAAGGGGGGATCGTATTTAATTCCTGATAATCTTAGTTATAAAATTAATCGAATTCTCTAAAATATTTTTTTTTTATTAATATTTGTCACTCACGACGACCTTCCTACATGACGAGTTGTTCCATCGAAGGCGACTGTAAAATCATTATTATTAATGGATCTATCGATTACTTTCTTCCTTAGAAACGTTTTAAATATTTAAAATATTTACGTTTTAATGGGAATAAGAAGCGGATGAATTGTTAATATAATATTAAAGGAAATATACAGTTTTTCCTTCAGAATGATGCGAAGATATGACGAGACCATCCAAAATTTCTATGATAACATTTGAGTTCGAGTACATATTTATAACAAAAATTTTCCTGATAATATTCCCTGATATTATTTGTTGATAATGAGTAAGAATTATTATTATTTTATTTTTTTTAAAGAAAGAAACATTTACTACAGTATAACGAGTTCAAAGAACTTATTAAAAAAATACGATTTATTGTTTCTAAACTTATCCGATAAAAAGTAATTACCGTTATTTTTCAAATTAAAACAATTGGTTCATTCATTAATTAATTATACGAGATTGTATTTCAAGAGGAAGGCATAAATCTGAATGAGAAGAAGTCATCGGATATGCTCTGGCTATTATTAAATTTGAAATTCGAAAAAGACTTTTTTAAACAGAGAAAAATTTTTATTTTTTCTACATTTAAAGCTATAAAAGTTCGTAAAGTTACTTTCAAATATATACTACCGAATGATTTAAAGAAAAAAATGGCATCTTTAGTTATAGTTTACGGATAAATAAACTTAAAAAAAAAAAAATAGAAATATAAACATAATTAATATCAGAAAATTTTAATAAAAGTATATAATTTTTCAATTATATTTATTCACCTATTTTTAAAATAAAATAAAATTTTTGTAAGCTATAGGCAATGTAAATTCGACACGAAGGAATTTGTGTTGTGAACTTCGGATAAATTATCGTATAAATAAATTGTTAATGAAATAACAATATTATCTTTCATCTCGGTGAATGACCTATAACAGGTAACGCCTATATATTTTTTTAAATTCCGAATAACCAATTACCTTAAATAAAATCATCTACAGACCTAGTTATATATAATTTACACGCGAAAATAAATTAATAACAATTAAGAGAAGAGAATAATGAAAATAATACATCATCCGTGAAGAGTCCATATTGATGAAGTGAACGGATTAGATAAACGAGATGGATTTACTATTACCGTTGCATCGTGTGAACAGCAATAACAGACTGCCTGTGGACTCACGTGACTGACACGTTCAAGTCGATATATAGTCTATTTGGATCCATCATTCACAGAATCGATAGACCCAACTTTACCTTATAGGTTCTGGTTTTTGATCTATCGAACGTTGTTCGTTGCGTTACGCTACATTAATATTTGCTGGAGCAGCGAATAAAATCAGCGATTTAAATATTGATAAACTACGAAATATCAGCATTAAATAGCAACAACAACAACAATTACTAACGGTCGCTATTGTGTAATCCTTTGTTTAATTCTTCTAATGAGAAATTTTCCGTGGAATTGACCCGGATGCTTTCCTTTATTGCTATTAGAAAATAAAGACTATTTATTAATCGTTTCCTTCACTTAATTTCGAAATGTATACACTTTAAAAAAAATAAAACGTTCGAGTAAATAGTCACAGTTAGATGTAACAATAGAAGATTGTCACTATAATAATGTTTATGATATTCAAGCTCCAGTAATTTGATACATTTACTAAATTAAATGCAATCTGACAACTCTTTCAAAGTGACTTAACCGTAATAAGTTTCAAAGTACCAATAATACAATAGCCAATGTATTTAAGGAAGAAACTAATCGTTATCTGTTATTCCAAATTATGTTTGTTTACATAATTAAGAATATATACCATAGAAAATGATAGTGTATCTATTAAAATGTCTATTATCTCTAAATTTTACATTTATCCAAAAATTATAATCGATTAGTAGCTTTAATCTAGGAAGCAAACAGGACACTTGCCCTGGGATCGTGTAAAACATTCCACAAATTATAATGGTAAAATTGACATGTGTAACCTTACATTCTCGACCATGGGACTCTTTGTCTCTTTTTGTATTGATTCGATACTGTATTCTATAATCTACTTGTGAAAAAAAACCCCAAAATTTAATAAATTAAATAAAAATATATTGATATAATTATTTCTTTCCAAAGTCTAACCCCTCTGCGGAGGCCTATGATTCACACCTTTCGAATTTCTGATAGCTTCTTAATTATATATACAACTTAAGATAATATCCGAAAATACCTAATAATTATGTAGATAAAGCCAGTGATATTATCGTCTCGAATAAACTTTATCATCTACATAATTTTTCTGGGAATAGCCTCTAAATGATCTCAGCTATTAGTCAATATCATTCAAATCACCGCAGCAATGTTTTGTCACAAACTGCTGCCTCTGATATATTCGAAAGCATTAATAATCAATTTTCTCACCTATCCTTACGTAGCTACGTTGTCAACGACGCCAAAATCTAAAGCAAAAGCTATTGTAAAATAACAAAAAGCTTAAAAAACTTCAAACCTGTTTAAAAAGATTAACGACCTTTTTAAACAGGTTTAAGGTTTTATTCAAAAGAAACGGACATTAAAAACAAAAAAAAAAAAAATATTGTGCAGTTGCCAAAATTTGGACAAGAGAAGAAAAAAATTCATTGGACAAGAGGGAGTGTCTCTTCAAAATATAAACGTAAACTGTACGTGTAAAGAACTAAACGCTAATGATTAACAATACGCCGCAATTCCTCTTTAGAAGGATGCATCAATTTGGGCCCGAGCCTAACAAGGACGAAACAAGGTCAGGATAATGAAAAATCATGTTTATAACTAATCCTTAAAATCTACAACGCAAACTATCTATTTTCTCACTATTTTTAGGATAAAAAAGTCGTAGGGGTCCTTTCATCCAAGTAGGATTCTATCGAATCACTGGTATTCGCGTTTAATAAATTATTAAAATAAGGCTATATAAATTCAGAATTTTAACTGGCAATACAATTACTGTATTAGGATATTAATTATCTGAAAAACAAATCAGTGAAAATGTTATCTTAGAGCTTCCTCTATTCACTTTCATTTTATATCACGTCACGTGAAGCGCAAGCCACATATGTAATTAGGATAAGTCGATTTCCACACGAAAAAAAAAACTTTAAAATTGAATATAAGTATCACAGTTTTTAGAAATTAACGCAATTGTAAAGCCACTTATAGCATTCTTCCTCTCGAGACTGGAAGACGGCAGTAAAGAGAGAAATTAAGTCGAAGACGAAAAGTATAGGTTGATAAAAGTTGTGTGCATAATTAAAATCCCTTCAGTCGTCTTATTAGAATCTGATACAGAGCAGCAATATCCGTGAAATCCTATTACCACTTACCAGATCGGTTGACCGACCCCGTCATATGACGAAACGGTTACGTCAGCAGTGTTCGATTTCCTAGTTGCTCGAACACAGTAACGCGTCCTCGGGCATCTTGACCGATACGACAGAGATTACGTTCACAGTGTAGTAGTAATAGAACCCGATCGATTCACTTCCTTCCCTTTTATCCTTAACTCCCAAATAAAAACAAAACGTGCTCGTGCTAACAACTCTCCAAATTATACGTTTGGCAATGGCCATCGATATTCTTACCGTAAAAAGGATAAGTTATTTTCATTTTTTAATGAAATTATTATATTTTATCACTATCGAAGATTTGTTGTAAAATCCAGAAAAAGAATTATTGTAGATTTGAAATGTAATGTGTTTGAGAGCAGGCGAATCTCGAAGTAAATTGCTGGAATTAAACGACGCTAGGAAGGATCGTTGTGGACAAGAGGCAGATAATTGGAAAAGTGAGTACTTACCTGTCTAGCGTTAGTTCCTGCAGTGGAGTCAGATCACAAGCGATGTACTCGAGAGCAGCATCCGTGATTCGAGGACACCATGACAAATCCAGAGATCGCAACTGATGGAGATTCTCGGCCAGGAGTTCTACCCCGTCGTCCGTAATTTTGGAGCATCCCGATAGGGAGAGAACTGTCAGATTAGGCAGCACGTGGACCAAATTCAATAGACCGTGATTAGTCAGTTCCCAGCAAGATTTGAGACGCAGCACCGAAAGGCTGGCACTCTGTTGGGGACCGAAAAAGGCCAAAGCGGCGTCGGTCACGTGATAAGCCTGGAGATTAAATTCGTACAGAGAAGGTAAAAGCTGCGAGACGGCGGCCACACTTTCGTCCGCCACGTTGATGCAATCCGATAAGTTCAAGGAAACGATGCGAGGACTGAGGCCGGCCCACAGACCCGCATCGGTTATCTCGTTGCACCCCGATAACTCCAACTGCACGATAGCCTGCAACGTTTCCAATAGGGCTTCTAAACCTTTGTCGGTGATGTTACAGCATCTCAACACCAAATGGCAGACGTGCGGCACTTGCGATTGTGGACAGTTGCTGATGAAGTCGTACACATCGTCGTCGTTAGCGCCGAACAGTCCCACCGATTCGAAACCCCGACGTTCCAGACTGGTGTATACTTTCTTCCTCATCTCGGCCGTACCGGCCAAATCGCCTCCGTGACACCTGAGCTCCCGACACCTGAGGACGGGCAGTACCCCTTTCCAGTAGCAAGGTTGATAGAGGATGTCCCGCCACACCGTGCACACCTGAGCCGCCACGCACCTGTCCTCGGGCGCTAGGTAAAAAAAGAAGTTGGCCAGGAATGGCGGGTCCTGCCACAGGTCCTCCTGCGAACGGGGCTTCGATAGGCTGGCCATCAATTCGGCCAGGCGGGCCGATCTCTCCGCCTTACTTAACTTCCTCTCCGGCCAGCGGTCCCTGGCCGAACCGTTCTTCGCCCGCACGGACAGGCCGTTGAAACGGCGGCTGATTTCGGCTGCGGCCCGCTTAGTGAAGCTGACGTCCGCTGTCATTTACGCAGTCATCGGGGGCTGGACGGGATGTCGCACATGCTCACGCTCGCATCGTCCGCTCGGCCCGGCCGCTCTCGAATGAGCATGCGCCCATCGATCGGCGGAAGTCAGGTGACGCCTTCTGCAATCCGCTTCTGCAACGGATCACTCCACTACCGTCGGCGGGGGCGACTGCTTCCCGGATAGGGTTGCCGATCGATAGTCTGCTCTTTTCTCTCTCCTTCTTCTCATCCTTACTTATCTTTCATTTATTTTTTCCTTTCTTCTCCACGCGCCCCGCTTTACGTACTCCCGCAATTTTGCTCTTTTATATCGCTAACCAACTCCGTTCTGAAAATTATCGCTCGCTTACTAACTAAACAAGGCGCTAGATGGCAGCACTTCTCTTCCCTTCTAACTTACGTTATGTCGGAACGAATCGCATTTCTCCTACGTTCCAGCGAATCATATTTTTCCTATTAAAATTCCACTCGCTTAATATATTTATATTATTCTAAAATATGTCTTATTCTATTTTTTCTTCATATAATTTCTTATTCAAGCCGAACCTGTCGTTTAAAATAAATCGCAGGAATACAATTATAAAACCAAAGTATTACCAGATATTAATCATATAAAATAAATAAAGACCTGTTATTTTTCAAATTGCCATCTTTTACGTTCTTTAATTTTAAACAAATATCAAATTTCGTAATGAAACTTTATAAAGTTGACCGGGATGGAGATAACATCTCATATAAAAAAAACCTACGAATAATTCTCGGAATAACATTCGAAGAGATTTTTAGATTATGCTTAGAAATTCCTCTACTTTTTTTCTATTTAAATATGAAAGATGAATGTAAATCGGGATCGAATTTTTACAAGTAAGGTAAACCATCCGTAACCTCGTATATAAATGGCTTCGTTCCATCCCTTATAATGTGAAGGAAATTTTAAATTTATAATTCCTTAATTAATTTTGTTATTTAACTCTTTCTCGGAACATCAATAAAAGATTTAGAAATAAAACTTCGAATTGAAACCCATTCGATTTACATACAATACGCATTTTTTTTTTAATCAATTTATTACTACAAGTCGACCCCCCTATAACACTGTTGATAATTCCGTTTTATATGAATTCCATGTTGTACGAGTTACTTAGATTTTACAAATACGTGTGCCGGGTTCTGAACGGCTCATTATTTGTAAAATCTAAGTGACTCGTACAACATGGAATTCATAGAAAACGGAAAAACCAACAGTGTTATAGGGGGGTCGACTTGTATTATTATTTAATGGAAAAGAAGGATTTCTGATTAATTTAGGACCATAACAACTGTAAATCCTGCTCTGATGTAAACAGTCAATTATTTACTAAGAGAAACATTTCAAAAATGAATTTGATTCTATTACAGTCGACTCCCCTATAACACTGTTGATTTTTCCGTTTTATATGAATTCCATGTTGTACGAGTCACTTAGATTTTACAAATACGTGAGCCGTTCACAGCCTAGCACATGTATTTGTAAAATCTAAGTGACTCGTACAACATGGAATTCATATAACATGGAATTATCAACAGTGTTATAGGGGGGTCGACTTGTATTTTATTTTCCTTAATAAACTAAGACAATTTTCATGTTTTTCCATCATTAATTTCTATATCAATCGTTCTAATTTTAAAAGATCCGATCAGTTTGTACGTTTTGCATGAATAGATATGTTTTTGTTACTTCTAATTTTACATCATTTAACGTACGGAGCACCATGCGGTTCCATTACCTAAAATTAGAAATAAAGTCTTGTTGGCACGGACGAAGAACTAATTGCATGTCTTGTGATTGCGCTCTATGATGTAATATAAAAATATTGGTTTATAAATGTTGTAAAATGTTTGTCACTAGCCGTATATTATTATACTGTACAAGGACGACAAGAAAAATAAAAACAAGTTTTGAACCCATGTAGCTTCGAACATTAAATGGTAAATTAGGTATAATACTTATTAATATATGTACATATTTTATAATTTAATTAGTGGAACGTGGACATTACTTTTATGGCGACACGTTTGAAGAGCTAATTAATTGAAATGAAACCTTAATTGTTTGAAATTATTACTATTGAATTCTCTCTTTTCTTTCTCTTGTTTTTTGATAGTTAATACTGTGATCAGTGAATAGATAATCTCTCTACTCAATTTGAATATGTAAGTTGAAATCGTATTACATAAATAATCTAAATTAATTTTCTGCTATATTCGAATCCATTTAGAATACATTATTACGGTTGAAAAAGTTTCCATTATCAAGGTTAATTACATACGATAATATCATGTAGATTGGAGTACTTTAATATAAAATTTGCATTTAAAAAAAATTGTAAGAAATTTTCATCTACAGATTGGGCACAAAATCCTGCCAACTCTATAGAAAATTAATCTTACATTCCATTTGTTGTTTGTTTCAGATAGAAGAGCATGAATAATGTCTGATTAAAAAAAGAAAAGTATACCATTAAAGATCGTGAAATCTCTAGTTGTTGGTTTTATGGCAGACTACGCTGCTTGGTGAGAGAAATTCATCTCGGGTCTCCCTAGAATAATAGGCTGCCACAGCCATTCGGCCATCTGTGGCAATTTTCTATAACCACGAGAGTACTCCCAGTCACGACTACTACACCATGGATAACGAGGTTCGTCAAAAGGATAGCTGTAGTGAACTGGAGTGGGTTGTAATAGCATTTTGTACCTTTTAGCATTGAAATGACATTAATTAAAAAGTTCATATTGCTATCTATGGTGTGCTCCGTGTGGTCTGTGTTTAAACAAACGGTATCCGAGCCTTTAATGTTTCTATTAATCGGTTTTCATCATGATTCCTCTGCTTATTTTGTGAAGACGGTTTATGACTAATGGCTGTAGATGTTCTATGAGGTAGTTGCATTTTCTGACTGTTCTGAAATGTTACTGTTTTGATCGGAATGTTCCATGCTACTTTTTATTTGTCGTTTTTCAGAGATAGTAATAAAAATGATAATTGGTTAAATTATGAATATTGCTTTTTTTCCGAACCTGCAGAGCGGCTTGAAATGTTTTTCCTTTTCATAATTCACGATTAAAGCGATCTCGCAAATTCTTCCATTGTTTTTTAACTTGACAAACGAAACAGAAGACTGTTATTACAGTTAACTGGCAAAAGGAATGTCGTTTATTAATCTACATTACTCGTTTAGTTGTGGAGTTACAACTGCAAGCGTGATGTATGAAATAGTATGCGTTCTATTGAAAAACATTTCTTTTCCACGACTTACCAACTAGAAATGGCAAGAAATTGCAAAATGATTTAACAAACAAGCAAACTTTCCTAAATGCCTAGAGCTACGGACGGTAAACATATTTGACTTATTAATTAAACCACAAAATAGCGGGTCCTTATAAGTTATTTCGATTGTATTGTATTATTGACAGTTTGTGACGCTACTTATTTATTCACACACGTAGATATAGGCGCTCGTGAGACGTATTGAATTCTACTATTTTTAAGGATGGTACTTTGTATTCCAAACGTCAAAACGATGAATTAATCTATTCTGTTCCGGGTCCTTTAGCTCAGAATGTAATCACCAAACACATTTGTATAAGATGAGGCCTCAGGTCTCTCACTACACATGTTACAACCATAAAGAGGAAAGCAATTAACAATAAATAAAATAATCTTCATTATATGTTATCTAGAGAGCATCGGTATATTGAATGTTGCATTGTTTTTATTGCACTTTATTCACTTTATTGTTTTTATTGCACTTTATTGTATGTAAGTTTTATTGAATGTTGCATTGCGGTATATTGCTTTTGCATTGTTGCCAATAAATAATGTATATTTCACAGAACGTGTCTATTGGTTATGTAACTGACATTGTTAAAGTACCCAAACAACACAGTTCGTGTTTTTCACATGGGATTTCTTGGATATTTTTGGTGAACTCGTGCACAAAGGAAATTTCGAAGGGTAAACTAGTGTTTTCCTCGTGCTAAGTGCGCTCATGGTAAACACTATTATGTCTCGTGAATTACAGTACACACATATATATATATATACGTATATAGCTGGCTGTAGTAGGCTATATATATGTAGGCATAACGTTGAAGGTAAAATATGTACTAATGTACTGTACGTATAGTCTACGTATATATTTTATTAAGTACTAAAACTTTAGTATAAAAAAAGTAATTATATAATTCTCTTTAACTATGAAATAATAATTACTATTTCATATTTACGCAAGTTAATTTTTTTTTTAATTAAGTATAAAAATTTGCTTTTATTATCTTTTTATTCTTATAGTTTTATTAAAATTTAGTGTTGATATGTTAATATAATAATTTTCGTGTGTTTGTAATTTTTCATTTTTGCAATTTTTTTTCCTCGTGTAAAGTTTTTAAAAATGCCCCGTGCAAAATGCATATTTTACAAAACATGTTTGGAAGTTAGTTTCCATATTAACAATGTATGGAGGGCATCATCAAGATTCGCATCGTGTCAAACTCGCACTCTGTTGGCAGTGCAATCTGATCGCATGCTCACTTTTCAAGTTTTTACAACTTGTCATTTTTGCTAAAAATTAGTATAAATTCTGCAGGAAAACAATCCATTTACACTGTACATCTGTTTTTTTTTTTTATATTTTCTACGAGCAATGTTTTACAAATTTGGTTCATACAACTGTTTATCGTTAATGTATCTTTTGTTAACCAGCCAACGCTTTAGATTGTAATGTCATTAATTAAAAAGAATTGAGCCCTGTAAAACTTTTTTTTTTAAGTAGCAAAAAACATAATACTAAAATTTGCTATCCGTAAGGTATTGTATGCTATAAATCTTTTAATTCCTAGATCTCTATTAACTCCCGAATTGTATAACAATCGAAGCTATTCCCGGACTTAATAGAGACTTTTCACCTTTCACCAGCTATTGGGAAGTAGTTAATCCAAGCATCTACGCTCCTTGTAACGAACGTCCTTTGTTACTGGCACTACTGGAAGTGTATTAATTAAATAAAAGGTTAGACTCACTAGTAGCGTGGCAATCGATTTATTATCGCAGTGAATAAAATACAACTAAAGCCAGATGATGGTTAGATACCTGTCTAAACCGAAACTACTGTAACGTAATGCTCGAATACTATCGATAGTGTTATCAATACTATCGAGATTTTAAAAATATAATCAATATTGATAGTCCAATTTTCTATCGTACTTTTTACATGAAACTAATATTTATTTTTTATCATCATATTTTAAAATTAGTTTAAAACA